CCATTTTCTGCTATTTGCCCACTTGCTCTTCCTTTGTGTCTTTTGGTGCACCTCGTAAGGTAGCCTCTGCCAACACTCCGGAGCGGCTGTAATTCCCTCATCAGATTTTTATTTTCTAACACCTGCCCTCTGTACTGCGAGCACTCCCTGCCTTCAAACGAGGCTGGTGTAAATGTGTGTGTGTGAACCTGTCCACATGCATCTGTAGGTCTGGTTGTATATGTATCCATGTCTGTGTGTGCGTATGGGCATAAAATTGCAAACGCCTTTCCAGAAACCGCCTTCCAAAACTTTCAAATTCCCCACAAGGCAGCCGATTTCTCCAAGTCAAACAGCTGCCCTCGGGTCTCTGGGTGATACCAGTAAGACACGGGGCACTTCTCAGTGCCCCCACATTTCCACGCTTCTAAATGCTGACAGTAAGGGGTTAGCTTCTCTACTTCGATTCAAGTAGTTAAAAACAGCACAGCCGAAGGCACAGACACATTATATTTAAAAGATTTTATTTATTTATTTGTCAGAGAGAGAGAGAGAGTGAGAGAGCACAAGTTGGAGGGGGTGGCAGGCAGAGGGAGAAGCAGGCTCCCCGCTGAGCAGGGAGCCCGACGCGGGGCTCGACCCCAGGACCCTGAGATCATGACCTGAGTCAAAGGCAGACGCTTTAACAGACTGAGCTACCCAGGCGCCCCGGCACATTTTTGTCTGACTTCTTTGACCACAGTCCCAGCAAACTTAAATGACAACTCGTCCTGAGTTTCAGAAAGGACATGAACCTCTTGTATACTGCATTCCCTTGGTGGACGCTGCAGTACGTGAGACCGCCCAGCCCCATTTTTGGCATATACTGAAAAGCGGAGCAAGATGAGAGTCTAGTTGATGTTTGAAGTTCCTCTAATTGCAGTACTCTACTTCTCCTTTAACTGTGAGACCTCTCTTTCCCACCTGTACCCCTGCAACATGCACGTGCGCACACACACACACTCAACGCATGCACTCGCAAGCACATGTGCAAGCCTCCATGTGCACAACCACACAGAGCCACCTGTGCGCCCTGCCGGCCTTCGCTAAAAGCCTCCAGTCCTTGTTTGCGTACATTTGCGCCTAGCCATATTATAAGAAAAGCAGGTGTGCCCTGTTTCCTTCCTCGTTTCCCAAGAAGTTAGGCCGCACAAGGACCGATGGTTTAGGGTCTCTTGCCCCAGGACTGTTTTCCAGACAGTCGCAAAGTCAGAAGCCGAGCCCTGACTCCAGGGTGATCTTACTCCTGCGTTTGCCCCCCTCAGCGGCCATCCCCCCGCTGTCCGTGGCATCCGCGCCGTTGTCTGCTGTGGCCGGCATCGGGCCTCAGTGCTCTGCGAGCCCTCCCCGTACAAAACCTGAATGCTACCAGAAGCGTGCGCCCCGGAAGCCCATCCTGGACTTTCTGGGGGGCTGCTGCCTCCGATGAACAGCGCCCTCACTCTGCCTGCAGCGCATTCCCGCCTGCACCAGGCTCCGTGCTCCGGTGGCTTCCTCACCGAGCTCGTCACAGGGCCATCTCATGCCTTCTGGTTCCTGCCAGTCAGCTCCCCTGGGCCATGTCCTGAAGCAGTGCCACTTGGCCCGTCACATCCTTGTTTGGAAACATTCGAGCGCCGGCATCGTCATCTGAACCAAGTCGAACCTCTCAGTCTGGAAATCGACATATTCTGCAACTGCTCCCCATCTTCTCTTGCAGATTGCTCACTTCCCACCTCCTGGACAGATGATACATTAAGCGCTTTACATTTAATCCTCACAATAATCCTTTGAGATGGGTATTATCCTTGTTTTTCAGATGAAGAAATTGAGGCTTACAGCTGCTAAGTAAGTTGCCCTAAATAACCCAAAGTATTTCGTTTCCTAGGGCTGCTGAGCTTACCATAAACTTGGTGGCTTAAAAAACAACAGAAATGTATTCTCTTGCAGTTCTGGAGGCTAAACATCTAAAATCATGATGTGGGCAGGGCCATACTCACTTGGAAGACATTAGGGGAGAATGCTTCCTTCCCTTTCCAGCTCCCGGTGGTCCCGGGCATTCCTCGGTACTCACTGGCTTACAGCCGTATCACTCCTGTCTCTGCCCCATCTTCACGCGGGCTTCTTCCCTGTGTGTCTCTTCTGTGTCCAAGTCTCTCTCTCTTTCCTTTGTGCATTCATTGGATTGAGGGCCTACCCTAATTCCAGAAAGATTTCATCGGACATCCTTAACTAATTGCATTTTACCTGTGGAAATCTTGAATAGCCTTCAAGATCAAGCTCAATGGCACTTCCTCCAAGAAGACATTCATGATTACACCAGCCAAGGAAGGAATTCTTTCTCCCACCCAAGCTCCAACTGCCTTACTTCACATGTCTCTGCTGCTCCTGCTTATCTTTACATCCTGTTCGGGGTTTTCGTGCAGTTTTCCTCGTTCACCACTGTGCCCACTTCCCACTAATGTATCACAACCTCCTTCTCGTACCATGTATTCTCCACAGCCCCTTGCATGGCAGGAGCTCCACAGATTTAGCCAAGTGAACTCATAATCATCTGCCTCTCCCTGTACTGAATAGTTATGTATTAGCGAGCAACAACGTAGGATGCTTAAAAACCAGCTCTTCCCCAATGTGCTCCCTTCCCCCAAACGGAAATTTTTTAAATAGCCTAATTTACTTTCCCACATCAAATCCAATCATTTTATTAATAATGTTTTCCTTCATTTGAATCTTATCTAATGGCAGCGAATCCAGGCCCTTCCTGGTATAATCCTCCCATGTTTTTTTCAGTTTCCTCCTACCGTCAGTGCCACCTTCTTTAGCTTCTTGGGACAGGCAAATATACAATTTGGGGGGCCTCTGAGGCCCAGATAACGTCTTAGTCATTATATTCCCAGCACCCAGCGGTGCCCGGGTGCCCCATACCGTTGAAAGATGCACGAGGGAACAAAGGCATAAACACCTTATTAGAAGTCCTCAGAGTTCTCGAGGGATGATAACCTTTGCAGGTCTCCACCACCCTCACCACAACCCTGTGAAGCGGGTGTCGTTGTTATTCCCACGTCACAGATGGGAAACTGAGGCTGAGAGGATAAGGAAGTTCCTCCTGGCCACACATCTAAGTGATGAAACCAGAGGGAAACCCACGTCTGTCTGACTCCAGAGCTGTAGCTCTTCCCCAGAAAGCCTCTCAGACTGGAATGCACCCTGTATTGTCCTGCCCTGGTTCAAACTGAGGGAGGCCCCGTGGGACGATCCTCAATAGGCCCTTCAGCTTGAGAGTCTTGGCAGCTGTTGGCCATTTGGCTGGGAAGGTTAGAAGTAAGTGACTAGGATGGTTGAATCTAGGAGAGTAGATAAGAGCCTAAAGAATGTGTATGTTTCGGGGGTGTGTGTGTGGTGTTGTGTATGTGGGATGTGGGGTGAGTGGTGTGGGGTATACGTGCTGTGTTTGCTGTATGTACATGTTTTGTGTGTGCTCTGTGTAGGGGTGTGTGTGGTACGTGTGGGGTGTGGGGTGTGTGTGTATGGTGCGGCATGTGTGTGGTGCATAGCGTGTGTGGGGGTGTGGTATTGTGTGGAGTGTGTGTGCTATGTATGTGGGGGGGTGATGTGTGGAGGTGGTATCATGTGGTGTGTGTTGGTGGTACCTGGGGATGAAAAGAGCTGTGTCTATAGGAAACAGTTTGGGATCCCGAAAGATGCAAAGGACTCCGAGTCACATCTGGACTCTACTCCAAGCCCAGACACCACATCTGAACTGGAACAAGCCATCTGACCTCCTGAACTTGCTTGCTGTAAAATGGCCTGTCAACTTCATGGGCCATTTGGAAGGTCTATTCAAAAAGAAACAGATAAAGGCCCAATATACACGAGGGACTGCATTGAAGAGGAAAGGGATAAAAGGGAGAAATAGCCGTCCCTGATTTTAAGGAGTTTCCATTCCATTTGGGGGAAGGCAAACTTATAAAACTGATTTATGCACAATGGAAGGTGTATGACAATGAAAACAGACGTCTCTTGAGCTCTTCACATTTAGCAGATTAAAAGATGTTCATCTCACAATCTTACAAGGTAGGTATTAGTAACAACCCACTTTGCAGAGGAGAAAACTGACTGATGGTCACAAAGGTTTCACCTTTGCTCCAAAGACACACTGATGTTAAATCGCAGTGACATTGCCTGTGAAACCTGATGGTCACAAAGATTTCGCCTTTGCTCCAAAGACACACTGATGTTAAATGGCAGTGACATTGCCTGTGAAACCTGATGGTCACTCTTATCCTCTCCCGGTACTGTTTCCTCGAGCACTGCAAAGTGGCCAAGTGCACAGAGATGGGCACCTCGTGCTCAATTTGGAAAGAGGAGAGCGGGCCAGCAGAGCTGAGTTCTAAGGCTGTGGCTTTAGGCGATATTCAGAAACAATAGGGAGAGGAGGTGCCAGAAGGTACATGCAGGGGCCGCTGATGTGAAAGGGGGACACCGGGTCATCCCACTCCAGCAAGGGGTCACACACAGCCACGGAAGGTCAAATTGTATTAATGCCATCAAGGAGAATTTGGTTACAGTCATGCCCGGCTAGATTGCAGGTTGAAAACCACCAGTTTTGTTTTTTTTTTCTTTGCCCCCTAATCTAATTTCCTCTAATGCTTTAGTCAAGCTTAGGGCCATGAGCCTCTGGGGAGCAAAGGTCCATCTGTTCAGTCAGGAATTTGCCAAAGTAAAAGATCAATCTGGCTTTTATTGTAACTTAGCATTTAGAGGACCCCAAATACTTCCCAACTGTATTAGCCAAAAATGACTCTGCATTATTGTGAATCATGGTTCCGAAGGAGAGATGTCAGGGATAGTCTTTGAAACAACAATGGGGCTACCACCAATAAAAAGAAGAAATAAAATAACAGGTATGTTTCTGTAGAGTGTACTTGCTCTAAAAGCAAATGGAAAGAATCATAATTGTCTTATTTGGGGAGGAAAAAACATTTAAGAATGCCTTTTTTTCCCAAAGATTTTATTTCTTTTATTATAAGACATATAGGTAAAAACTTGCATATTCTGAAAAAGATAGAAAATGGTAATAAAATGGACATTTTTCCTATTAAGAAATATGTTCATAAATATGCTTTATCAAATGTTAAAATGGTTATTATTTTGCAAAATAACAATAAATAGAGCGAGCTGTGGCATACAAGGGTCAACCCAAAGTACTGAAGTATTTATGTTTTGTGTTTTATAAAAATTCAGACCTTTGATTATGTTTCAAAATTTGGCATTTTGCACTCCAGGTTATCAACAATTCAGATTTTTAAAATATATTCATGATGGCCCCAAGACTTTAAAAACAATGAAAACACAAAAGGTGGTTTGACTAAGTAGAATTTGATTTAAGTAATTTTCTCCTCAACAAAAAATTTAAGACACAGAAGCCAAAATATGATTTTTGATCCCATAAGTGGTACCCCTATCAGTTCCCAATTCTACAGATCTCTGGATCCCCAACCATGGGCATGGAACAAAAATTGTTGGCTAAGCTTTAGTTTCCAGGAAGGTCCATCATTTCTTTTCACAGCTTGATGGAGCAATAATAGTCATGATTATGATGAGCCCGGTTCTACAGTCCCAGCTCCACGAATATAAGGTACAGAGAAAGAAATTCTCCCTCCTTTGGATAAATCCTTTGACGGCTTTCCTGTATTTGTCTATGGCCCACTGGCCTCAAATTCATGTAGCGGAACACTGGGTGACATTTTAGTAACAAATAGTTCTTGTTCTGAGCATTCTTTTGTAGGCTTCAATTCTCTACTATCCAGAGGAGAGAGCAAACACATGTGAACCCCAAGTACATCCTCTGATGAGTCTTGGGTGTTCAAGTAACAAGGTCAGGCTTTTCCTGTAAATAAATACTGATTTTACAAAGATCTTTCGTTTCCCATGCGTGATGTCGCCCTTGAGGCTAACAAGCTAATTCCCAGCTACAATGGGGGAAGCCTTATCTAATAATACTTATGGATCCAATCTAATATAGATTATCGGTCCCAATGGTGTTCAACGATGTCCACAGGGGGACATCTGGGGTGACTCTGGGGGCCTAGAGCACAGAGAGGTCATGGCAGGATTTGGACTTGAGCTTGAAGGCCATATTCTTGTTGTTTTTGGCCACGATCTTGCCCCAGAAGCGCCGGGCTTTCCTGGGGATGCTCTCCCTCCTTTTCTGGTAGGCCAGCCGCCGCTCGTTCTTTTCCTTGCTGTCCCGCCGGAGGCGGACCTGCCGCACGATGCCCTCGAACAGCTCCTTCACGTTGTGCTGGACAGCCGCCGACGTCTCGATGAACTTGCAGTCAAACACCACAGCACACGCTCTCCCTTCTGGGGAGGAAAAGAGGGGAGAAGAAAGTCAGAGGGGCTCCATGGCCCAGGCCGAGCCAGCGGGCCCCGGACTCGGAGCTGTCTCCGGGCAGCTCTAGGTCAGACGGCCATGTGGTGGTGACACGTGTCCTCCCAGCACACAGGGAGGCAGTCACAGGAAGCTTCCCACAAGCAGGAGAGCGGGGCTCTAGAGCCGGTCCACCAGAGATGCACTGTGTGGCGGTCCAACTGCATCAGCCACGGTAACATCAACTCAGTAAAACCACAGCCTTCACTTACTGCACTTACCATGTTACTGGAAAAACACATTCTCCCTCCCAGACAGATGAAGAAACTGAGGTCGGGGGTGATCTTTTAAAAACATGAGGGAGTTCACACAGCCTGTAAGCGGCAGAAGTGAATCCAGGCCTGCCTCATCCTCACGCTCGGATTCTTAATGCTTTCTGCTAACTCAGTTTCCCCGAATTGAAAAACAACCCTACTCTTTGACTTTCCTCTCTTAAAAAACGATGTTAAAGCTCTGATGAGGTTATTTTGAAAAAATGTTGATTTCACAAATGTACAATGCAGTTTCCAGCAAGCTGTATATACAAGCTTTTCTGGAGCGGCCTCCGTGTCGAAAGTTGCGTTGTGTTCACTGACCGTGTATCCCAGTTTGGCTTAGAAAAAAATGATCAGTGTAGACAGTCGTCGCCTAAGAGTAAGACATTCCCAAGCTGGTTGTAGACATTAAGTCTTCATCAGGTTTCTTTCCTCCTGAGTGGGGCCTGGCAATGCAGGGCTTTAATTTTTACCATTGTACCAGGAACCAAATCTGTACATGGACAATAAAATCTCAAGGGCTCCCCCGCCCCCGGCAAATAGGCGATATCCCTGAACTAAGCATGAAGATGTCTAGGTGACACCATCAGATTGATGCCTTCAATGAAACTTAGGGAGCAAAAGGCAGGGGGCGGGAGGGTGTTCCTAGGGTCTCCAGGAACCAGAGGCAGCCAGAGTGGAATTCTCATTCTCACTGAAACTCCCACAGACCCCCCCCCATCAGAGTTCCCATCCTTCTTACATGAAGACACTACTTCTATTTCCCTGAACTCCTAAGAGCTCCCCAGAGAAGAGAAAAGGACAAGGAGAAAAGGTTGGGGAGTGCCAGTAAATCCAACCGCCCCAGCATAACCTTTTCCCTCAAGCAATTCCAGGCTGGGGAAAACGGGAACCCAGCAAGTAGCCCAGATGGACAAGGGGGCGGCCATCAGCACAGGGATCATCTGCTGGGAACGCTGGCGTCTTCTACACAGAACTCCACAGAGCATTTTAATAATGCGTCCCTGGTGCCAGCTTCATGGAAGAAGAAGAAAAGAGCTCCCAGGTGAAGGAAAAGGAGGTGACCCCGAGAGGGCCTCCGTGGTGTGGCACCACCCCTCTCACCTGATACAGACACTTCCCGGCACCGCACCAGGTCACTTTTGTTGCCCACCAAAATGATAGGAATGTCCTCGGTCTGCCGGGCCCTGCGGAGCTGGATTCGCAGCTCAGACGCCTTCTCGAAGCTCGCCCGGTCCGTGATGGAGTAGACGATCAGGTAGGCGTCCCCGACTTGCATGCAGTGGTCCTGGAGCCACTCATTCTCCCCCTGAAAAACCGAGAAGAAACTCCTTGAGCTCGGGTGCGGCTGGGAAATGAAGCGTCCTTCGCAAAGAAGCGATCTGTGTAAACTAAGGTTGTTACTATCCAGTTCCTCCTACAGCTTGAGTTGATAAATTAATACGACGACTTTGCCAAACCACATTTCCAATTTCTAGCTAATCTGCCAAAAATGAGCCCTCTCTGACTTCCAACAACTCCCTTTTGCCTTTTCCCAACTGATGATATTTCGAATCCTTCTGTGAGAAGAGGGTTCCCAACCAAGAGAAGGACCAGCATAGAGGCTCAGAAGCCCCAAATCTTTAAAAAGCAAACATTGAAGACGAGTATTAACAATGTCAACTTCATATAATCTGGTTTTACATAGCTTTAAATGATCATCCACCCTTCTTGGCACTTTCCCTAAAACAGATAGACGTTTGTGTCTTTTTTTAATAGAACTAAGGTAAGGGCAAATCACTGCAACTTGCTTATTATTCAGAGCTCATTTGTGAATGACCTCTTCTTGAGAATAGTCTCCTACTTCAGAAAAAAAAAAAAAAGCTAATCAAGAAAATGAGCCCACCTCACCTAGAACACTGAAAAGGACAAGGTCACCCTTGCACCAAACAGCCTGTTGGAAGGCAAGCCCTGAAGGAATTTACAGAGAGCTACAGGCTCTGCATACCTTATTTTCCCACATGTCCAGGAGTATAATTGTTGCACTCTCCCCATCAACAATCAGTGTTCGCTCATAGGTATCTTCTGGAAAAGAAAGAACAGTAATACTGGAGTCAGAAAAATAGGCAACTTTTACCTGAGCGTCATGTAGGAAATTATGTTACAAAATAAGCCTACTAAATATGCAATTAATTATGCAAGTATGCAGATACTTACAATGGCAAATTACTATTTCTTAATCACCTTCCACAACGTTCTACATACATGTTCCTCCAGTACTTCCTGAGCAGAACACCTATGTCTTCTGAATGTGTCTCACTGAGCCACTTGAAATGAAGACTTTCGTTTTCATCTAGGAAAACCATCTGTAAGGATAAACTCACTGAGAGCTTTTGACTCCGATTCAATGGATGATGGCTTGAGAATCACCCAAGGGAACCGTAAGCCTCATTCGTAGGCCTTACATGGAAATCCACTGTACCTTTCAGTGGGGGGATTACTGGACATTCACTGGCAATTTCAGGAGCTCTGGGCTCAGAGACATTTTTCCTGTTTTGAGACACGCAAGAAAAAAACCTTGAGACTATCCCTGTCTTGGCTGAGGTTTTCTCCCTTAAAAAAGTACAGTTCCCTAGGAACAAACAGGCTTTTCTTTTTCCATCTTAAGTACAGCCTTAAGTGCGGCCTCCAGCTCCACTTGGTAATGGAAACTTTCCTCCCGGCACTTGAGCCCAGTCTGAGTATAGGTGAAGAGTGAGGAGTACGATGGGCCAGAGCAGCTCCAGCCCACAGAAATCAGGTGGGGGTTATGGTTGGCTGAGCTAACTGGGATTTTGCAGAAGTGATTCCCATCAACTGCATACAAACAAGCCCATCCCCACTCTATTTTCACAGTGAGGTTTCCTGTTTTGAGTTTCATCATTTGAAAATGATGATTTTCATAATGATTTTTTTTTTTTTTTTTTTTTTACCATTTTTCTTGCTGCTACTTTTGCCTTGAATCTGTTCCCTGGAAAATCCAAAAGGCTTGCGCCCTTACCTCCTTCCAGGAGAAGCGCTCCCTCACCATCTACTTAAAATTGCAATACATCTTCCCTACCAATATTTTACTCCCTTCCAGTTTTTCTTCATTGTACTTAAAGGTACCTAACATGCAATCCATTTATTATTTTCTGTCCCTCTCACCCCCAGAATGTGAAGGCAGAGATCTGCATCTGTGTTTACTGCTATATGCGCCCCCCCGCCGCCACCCACGTAGGGCAGTGCTCAGCATACTTCAGGTGGTCAGCAAATGCTTATCGAATGAATGAGAACTATAGCACTGGGGCTAGAAGCACAAGCACACCTGATTAGAATCTGGATGCCATCCCTTTTTAACTATGTGGCTCTGGACCATTTAAGTGCTCTGGGCCTCAATTTCTTCATCTATGAAATGGGACTGATAACCATATTCATGCCTTAAGGCTGCATGACAATTACCTATGTTAAGCCTGGGCCCAAAGTAGAAACGCAATGAATATTAGCTGTTGTCATCACTTGTTCAGATGGAGGAAGCTGGTTCTTGCCACATGTGCCATCTCCCACCATAGCTAAAACCTAGCTTAAAAGTGCTACTTGGGGAAACCAGAGCATTTCTTGTTTTATAGGAATAAGGGGTTTATTAAAAGTAATGCTCCTGTTTAAATGTTTCTTCATCTAGGAAATGGAATCAGGGGAGGGAAAGGAAGGAAAACACACACAAATGAGAAGAAAGTTAACCAGGGATGGTCAACTTTCTGTTGGTCTTTCTGTCAGTCTCCCTGCCTCCACAAGGTATCATTCTAATCAATGGTAACAGTGTCCCCCCTGGGGGATTAATGGTCTGTCTTTCTGTCAGTCTCCCTGCCTCCACAAGGTATCATTCTAATCAATGGTAACGGTGTCCCCCCTGGGGGATTAAAAGTCTTTTATGCCCATCCTGTCTGCCATGCACAACTTGCAGCATGAATGGGATCACAGTGGGATGCACAATCCGGCTTACTGCAGAGTATGACTCAACAGGCATATTTATACAGCCAAATGGAAATGGTCAGAGCCTGAGCTGCACAGAAGGGGGGCCGGCTGACTGCCCCTTGCTACCTTGGGCTTCTTCTCTTTTCTCTAAAAGCTTTCCCTGTGCTCAGGAAATCCAAAACAGCACTTTCTCTGTCGTCAGCCTCACCACCCAAAAGCAGGTACAAGGGATTCACCTGGGTCCCCAGCAGTTCAAAGAGAAACATACCTACCACACTGCAACAGCTAGGGGAAAAAGCAAACCCGAACTTTCCCTTGGTTTACGAGGTATCAGAACATTAGCCTAGAGAGAAAGTGGTTGAAGAATTACACCTTAAAAGGAAGATGCCTAACTGCTTTGCTGTTCTGCAAGATTGCTGGACTTACCCCTGCCTGAAAATCATTGTGCTGCAAACCCAGGAACCGAAAACGTGTCTCCACCCTGCTTCACTGCGTATGCCCCACACCAAGTTTATATACTGCCTCTGGCGACCGGGCCCACGGATTCTTCAGACACACTTCAGCCTCCTGCTTTCTGGCCCTCTGCTGACCGAGAGGGCCCTGCCTGCACCCAAAGCTCTAGTTTCCCTTCCTCCCCTTGTCACTCACCTTTTAGCCTTCTCAAGAGCTAATCAGGTGGGGGGAGGGGAGATAAAAGAATATGAATTCTAGAAGAGTCCTTTGAAATTTGCCCTGGGTTGAGGTGTGTAGAGAAAGGGTTGAGGCCTATTGGCTTGTAGGGCTTTTCAGGACCCTGGGTCTGGGGGGAGTCCTCTTTGCTCCTGTGCTCTCGACGACAGCTGGGGGTGCACGTGCGCACACTGTGCGAGAAGAGAGGTCATCCTCAGGGGTGGGATGGAGCTCCGATGACGGGGTGACGGGCGCTATCTTCCCTGGACTAGGTCACCTTAACCTGTCTTTCGTTTGACCCCCACTGTGCGTGGAGGGCCTTCCGGCCCAGGACTGGTTCAAGTGCTGTGTGGAACCGGCACAGGCCTTCTCTCTCTCACGCCGGGACGGGCTCCTGCAGCCTCTCAAAAGCTCTGAGGCTCCGACATGCCTCTCCCCCAAAACTCTCAATGGCTCTCAGCTTTCCTAGCCCAGGAGATGCCAAGGGGCCCTGGAGGAACACCTGCTCCAGGAACACCGTCCTCACCTCCTGCAGCCTCTCACAGGGCCCTGGCCAAGAGTAGGGCGAGGGCAGGTGGGGACCAGAAGTGACCAAAGTGCCCGTTTGGGAAGGTCAAGTCCAGGGGACGGACACAGGAGATTCAGAATCAGCTCTAACATTCATTCCATACACGTTCATTCCGTACTCCTACATGCCAGGCACCGGGCTACATGCTTAGTAGATGTTCTCTCCTTGACTCCTCTATCGTCCTGTGAAGCGGGTTTGTCCCTGTTTCACTAACGGGAAAGTCTGAGGAGGGTCAGTCCCTTGCACGAGAGCGCTCAGCTACATCCGCGTCAAAGCTGGGCTCCCAACCCACACCGACAGACTGAAGTCCAGTGCTCCTTCCAGACTCTCCGTGTGCAGGTGCTGCACCTCCCCACCCACCTCAGGCCTTCCAAACACCAGGCCATTCTTAGGGTCCAGCTCAGAGACCGCCTCTTCCATGAACGCCTTCCTGACTTACACAGCCAGAAGTAATCTTTCCTCCTCTAATTTCCCACAGCACTGTCCTTGTACCTCTTTCCAAACACTCACCACACCCGACCTTGGTGTACACATGGTGTATATCCGTCTCTATCGCACATACCGTAAGCATCTTTACGGGGAAGCCCTAGGACTCTTTGCATGTCCCTGTAGTGATTCACTGAATTACATGGTGTATGTTCAGTAACTATTTAGGAATGAATGAAAGGATGAGTAAATGAATGGCATTAAATGTGTAGAGAGAGTCATAGATTATTGCAATATAGCTGTAACAACATCTTTATTAGAAGAAATTCTGATAGAGTATTGTGTAGAGGATTTTTTTTTTTTTTTTAATGGTTAAGGCTGAAAAAAGAACAATGTGGGGGCATGCCTTGGAAAACCTTCTTCTTTGGAACATGAAGCCACTAGTGATTCCAACAGCTGCCTACAGATAAGAGATGTAATCCTAGACAGTATAAATTAAGTTACTCAAATAGGACACATTAGATAGGCTGGGTCAATGGGGAAATCCTGACAAAGATTCTCTGAGGAGATAAGGATTCTCCCTCTCCCTCCCCACTTTAAATAAAGAGTTCTCCCAAATATAGAAGCCTGCCTTCCCAAATTCCGGGTATGAGTCAGTCGTCTTAACACTCTATGCCTATGGGGATGCCGCCCCCCAGATAAGTACCACTCCACTCTAATGGACATTTTTGAAAGTCTGCTACCCACTAACTTTTTCAAGACCTCCCTCAAAAAACAAAACTCCTGATCTCTTCCTTCTGTCAATCTCCCACTTCTTATGGTATTCACCAATTTCACCCTGCTCTGAATTAACAGCCACTGACACTTCACTCCTTCCTGAGAGGGTATACTGCATCTTACACATCACTGGGCACCCCAGAGCCCAGCACAGAGCCAGGCGTGCACCTGATACTAACAGCATGTGGACGCTAAACCCAGGGGTTGCTGGGCACTGTGAATGCACACAACCAGGTCTGACTCCCAGTCATACCACGGGCTAGCTTTATCACCCTGGGAAAGTTACGTGCACGTGTCATATAAGCCTCCATTTCTTCACCTGTAAAACAGGGATATTAATACAAAATTGACTCGATTTTTGTTTTATCAGAAAAAGCTTAGGAGAAGTACTTAGTAGAGTGTCCAGCACATAGCAGGTTCCCTGTCAATGGCAGTGTAAAAACACCACCGAACTAAGATGACAAAGGCCTGAGCTCTAATTCCAGCTACCCCACTGATTCTAGGTAAGCTACTTGGTATCCCTGAGACTCAGTTTACTCCTCTGAGTACAGGAATTTTATAAGTACCAAAATAAACAGTAGCAGATATAAGGTACCCAATAAAGCGCCTCTCGATTGCAAACGTGCATTCTAGATATTCATTCCTCCCTCCCTTTCTCCTATACGAACAGTCACCCACCAGCCTTTACAGAGAAAGAGAAAATCAGCCTTCCAATACTGACCCTATTTCTCCTTGACTCTCGTTTAGCTAGCGTCCCTGAGATTCCAGAAGTGAGGAGAGAAATCAATGTTCTATCAATGAGTCATCATTTACAGTCCAGATCAGGAGCTGCCACGTGAAGCAGTGAACTCTCTGACCCTGGAGACAATCAAGAAGAAACGGTGGGCTGAAATGGGCTGACAGGAGGGAGGAAGGAGCAGGACTCCTGTGCGTCAAGCAGAGGGCAGAACCAACTCATCACTAAGGCAGTTCCCTACCCTGGGAATCTGTGATTCAGTGATTCAGCTGTGAGTTGCAAGTGAGAGTACAGACAGACCATGCCACTCGGGCAAGCACTGGAAGATTCTTCCTTTATGTCTATAGCTGCAGATAAGGACCTGTAGCTCCCCTTGTCACGTATGCTAAGACACAAGCTGTGGCTGAAAGTCACTCTATGAATACCACTGATGATCAGGATCCTCATACATGTATTTGAGGAACACATGCATTTTTGTGACTACGTCACCTCAAATCCGTTTTGCAAACAGGCGAGTCTTAAATATCTTAAGTGAGATTGTACATGGAACATCGTCTTGAAAACCTGTACATATACAAACACATGTATCACCACTGTTATGCTTAAAAAAAATTAATATTGCACTATTTCAAATATAGATATTAAACTATTTTATGCCCTCAAAAGCCTCTAACAATGGTGGAAACTGATGAATCTACCCTAACAGTTTTTCAAATCTGTTTGGTTTTAGGTATAACCATGCAAAAAAGCTGTGACCATACTGAGCTCTTGAAAAGTCCAGGTCAGAGTTGGCAAAAGCCAGCAGTGGGATCCTGACCCTCTGACTCTGCCGTCTTTAATTAGTCTAACCCCCAGGCCCCGCGGAGCTGGTATCTAAGAAATTCCCTTTCTGGCCTGGGTTCCATCTAGGAACATTTTCATTTTCTCGTCCTGAGGGCCCATGCCAGGGCTTTTCTGGGGACTCAGCTTCCCCAGCCAGTACCAGGGACGCATAATCACCACTCCCAACTCTGCAGATAACCGACCCGCCCCCTCGCTCTTCCGGACGGGACCACCGCCGATGGACAGAAGCCCACTGGGGCTGGGCCACCTACCTCCCAGCACCTCACAGTCGCTGTCCATGCTGTCATGTACACCTGCAAAAATGTTGGCCAGAGTGGACTTGCCCACCCCCTGCTCCCCTATGAGCACCACCCGGTAGTAGGTGCTCCCTGACTCAGAGGAGATGACCGAGTCTGTGGAGTCAGAGGACCAGCTCCGGCGGCAGTGGTCCTCGGGAGCGGCGGGGGGGCGGCTGCGCAGGCTGTGCCGGTGGGGCTCTTTCTGGACCATCAGATGCCTGCCGTCTGCCGGGATGCTCCAGCGCTGCTGCGGTTGCATGCCCACAGTGCCCTGGCGCATGGGGACGTTGTTCAGGGTCATCGCTGGGTCCTGCCGAGCAGAGCAGCCGAGAGGTATGCATCAGTGAGCGGGAGCGGGAGCTTGGGGGGCTCACCACACAGTCATCAATGGTATCTCAGCAGATGGGGTGACACCCAAGTAACCCTGACATCGGAACCCCAAGGAAACTCTCCCCAAATCTAAGAGGCTTTCGATTAGTAACCAGCTCCTCGGGCAGACTGTCGTTCACAAAAAGAAAAAAGTACCGTGAACAACACCCACTGCCCCCCTGCTTCCTCCATCCTTGAGCAAGCCTTCAGGAAGCCCACTCGGCACTGACACACAGGCAGCCCGAGGAAACCAGCAGCCTTCGGAGATGGCTCGAAAAGCAACAAGTTAATGGAGCTGGGGACCAGCTGGCCAGGTTAGCTGCTCTTGTCTAAACATGGCTCTTCATTGCACCAGCGTCCAGCGGGCTTTCATGCCTGGGTGGGAAACACGTGGCAATGACCTCACTCCCTCTGGCTGCACTGGACAAGCACTTATTGGAACTTCCATGTTTAGTAAAGTTGCCCTGATGCTCTCCAGCTGCCCGAATAAGCTATTAATTTGGGGGCAAAAAAGAATTTGTCTGAGGTTCATGCCTCAGCTCTGCCCTCTTGCCCACAATCATGTTTCAAAAATCCCAGCCCCCGGCGCCTGGGTGGCTCAGTCGCTAAGCGTCTGCCTTCCGCTCGGGTCATGACCCTAGGGTCCTGGGATTGAGTCCCACATCGGGCTCCCTGCTCGGCGGGGAGCCTGCTTCTCCCTCTCCCACTCCCCCTGCTTGTGTTCCCTCTCTCGCTGTGTCTCTCTCTGTCAAATAAATAAATAAATCTAAAAAAAAAAAAAAAAGTCCCAGCCCCAAGCCCTGTTGTTCCCGCAGGGAAATGACCTGCTCACGTTCCGACCTATCAAATTGGCAGAGAAAATGCTTCACTCTCATTAAATCACGTCCACCCCGAGAGTTCTTCAATTAAACTCAGATTTCCACCTTCCTGAGGAAAATCAGAAGGTCAAAGACCCTCCTAAATGCCGTGAAACAACTTTGCTCCAACTTTCCCTTTGCAAGCCTCCATCCCCTTGCACGGAGCTTTGTTCTCTCAGGCTACTTGAGATGAAGTAGAAGCCTTCTCATTTTTCAAAAGCAAGATCATTCGTGAGAGTGAGAAATGCATACTCCCCTTCCTAGACTCACACCCACACTCCACACCCCAACACGCCGGCCACTAACGGGGATGACCGGCCGCTTTTTCAATCTCATTAAGCCGTGCCTCAGTTGGCCGGCTGGCATTCAAACCACAAAAGCATGACGTATCAAATGAGGGCTGCCCTCTGAGCAGAGAGTCTGCAGGAGGAGGTGACCCTCCTAGTGAACTGAAATAAGGAACCTGATGACAAATGGCATCCTTTGCACCTTAAACTCTGCCTCCCCCCGCCCCCGACCAGAAAACCACAGCGCAGACGGCAAGTTCCAGGGGCTCTTTTCTCAACTTAGAAAGTTCTGCGGGCCGGGAACGCCCACTCCGTGCCCGCGCACTTCCCCCCGCCCGGCGTCGGGGGGACCCCCTTCCCCAACCGCCCGCTTACTTGGCTCGGCCGGGTGGGCGCCCGCGAGGCCGCGTGTGCTGCGTGGGTGCGCGCTGCGATACCGGGGCCGCCGAGCGCGGGGTGCTCGCGCCGTACCCGCCGTCCGTGCCGCCGCCCGCAGCCGCCGCGGGCCCGCCGTTTATAGCTCGCCGGCCGGCCAGCCAGCGCCGGGGCTTTTCCGTGACGTCAGCGCCCCCGCCGGGAGGGGGCGGCTCTGCAGCAAACTCCGACTTGCAGCCACTTCGCTGAAACGGTTACTCGCAGTCATGTGACCCCCCTCTCGCCCTTTTGAAAAATAACGACGGTTCCATCCCGGGCTCCTTTATTTATTTTATTTTATTTTTACCAGGTGGGTCCAAGAAGCTGGAAAAATACACGGAGTGCCACTTTAATCGCGCTTCCCCGCAGAGCTCTGCCGAGGGGAGATCGTCGGGCGCCCGCGGAGACTTTAGCCTCTCCGAGGGGGCTGCAGCCACCTTGCGTGGCCAGGGCTGGTGTGAGCTGCATCTGCTGCCCGGAAAGCTGCCTCTACGTGCCTCCTGTCAGCCTCTCTCTGGAGGACGAGGGAGGAAAGCCCGGCACCTCTTTACTTCCCTTCTCTGGCACGGACCCACAGAGAAGGAGCCGGAGAGAGGTGACGAAAGGGGACAAGACCTTGAAAAGGGCAGTTCTTTTTTTTTTTTTTTTTCTTTTGACAAAGAGAAACATAGCAAGAGAGGGAACACAAGCAGGGGGAGTGGGAGAGGCAGAAGCAGGTTTTCCCGCTGAGCAGGGAGCCCGATGCGGGGCTCGATCCCAGGACCCTGGGACCATGACCTGGGCCGAAGGCAGACGCTTAAGGACTGAGCCACCCAGGCCCCCCGAAAAGGGCAGTTCTGAAAAACAACTTGATGAGGGGCCCAAGCACATTGTGCTAAATGCTGCTGGCCCTGCTGTGGGCCAGGATGCCGAGGCTCCTCAATCAGGGGATTTAATCAGCGCTTCAGTTAGCAGCATCGCTGGGCCATGCCACGTGGCACGGAGCCAAAGCCTCCCAGCCGTGGGGGGAGGAGCCCTGAGCCAGACACGGTTGGGGGTGGCGCCGCGTTCCCCCACCTCCACCCCAGACTCCCGTGAATGAAGGGCACAGGATAAACTATTACTACCACCATTTACTAAGTACGTCTGAGTACCTATACTGAGTAGGTAGTGTTAGGCCTCCGCAGTACCTCAATCCTACTACAATTCTGCAAGGTAGATGTATTGCTACCCCCATTCTATGGAGAAGAACACGGCCAGAGAGCTTGCCCAAGGTCATGCAGCTGATGTAAATGGCAAAGTCAGGGTTCAAAACCTGGTTTGCCTGACTCTTTGCACTGCACCACCAGCTGAAGGGTTTCAGGGACCTCTTTCTGGGGACATGGGGATTTCCCAGACGCTGTGTTTGGAGATGACACTGGCCTTTCCGACACCTCCATCCACTTTTCCAGCCAGCTTCCCATCTCTGGGTTGGCTGGTGGCTCCAAGAAGCAGCCAAAGGCCCCAGCATCTATTTGAATGGCTGGCCTTTGCTGTGATTATAGTCCATCCTCAGTTATCCTGCATGCAGTTATCTGCTTTGGGGATTATGCAAGTGACCAGCTGCTGAGACCTGCCAGGCCCCAAGCTGGCAAAGGTGGGATTCACAGAGTAATAAAAATTTAGAGCTCATTTAGTCCCAGGTGCCTTGGCCCCAGTCTCCTACTTTCTACATAAGTTGAGACCCAGAGGGATGACTACCACTCAGTTGGTAGTAACTAGAGCTGGAACTAGAACCTGGGTATCATAATTTCCTGGATGGTACCCTTCATTACCATCGAGTTTTCCTTCCGGGTTTAGGCAGGAGAGGATGGCCACAGATGTGGGAAAAGGAGAAGATTGGGATGGGGTGGGGGGTTGTCTGGGGGGAGGGAAAGAGATCATCCAAGAATATATAGCTGACTCCATACTAGAACACCTATAGGGGCGCCTGGGTGGCTCAGGTCATGATCCCGGAGTCCTGGGATCAAGCCCGGTACGGGCTCCCGGCTCAGCGGGAGGCCTGCTTCTCCCTCCCCCACTCCCCCTGCTTGTGTTCCCCCTCTCTCTCTCTGTCAAATAACTAAATAAAATCTTTGGGAAAAAAAATAATAAAACACCTGTAATTTGTGAATTATCTGCATTTCAGAATTTACCATGCTTTTTCCATGCTGAACCTCCTACTCTGTCAACTGGTCTCAGCAGACACTAAGAATAAATCAGAGTTTATAAGCATTTCATACAGCCTCTCAATGCTACTTTTGCCATTGATAAGAACCTAATTCTTCACATTAACAAGAACCTGATTCTATGCCTAGGCAATATCTACTATGAACTGTTTTTTATTGGTATAAGTGAGGCACACCAAAGAAAACAATCCTAAAGACTGGTGGGGGCTGGGGAGGGGGCTTTCAGTCCACTATTGATTGGGTAAGTACAGCAATGTTGCATTTGAGTAAAAAGAATCTGCCTTCTTAAATTTTCTGTCCCACGAAAAGCCAGATGGGAAAACAACTACTTAGCAAAAGTTTCAACTGAACAACAGTTAAGTTGGAGTATTTGGACAAAAATCATAGTTACACCTCACAAAAAGCGCATTTGAGAGCCAAATCTTAGCCAGCAGAATCCCAGCTACCTTGTCCAGGATTCCAGCTCACTGGGACCATCTAAGGGTATGGAACTGGAAGAAAGAAAGGTAGAATCAGGGCATTTGGACAAGTGGCAAGTTCCAAAGAGGAAAATATTGGCAGAATATTGTAGTTTCTTGTTCTATGAATTATTCTCTCCATATTCCTTCTGGCAGCATTTGAAGGCGTCCTTGGGTTCTAACTAACATGAAGATGAGTATCACTAGAAGGCGGAACTCAGAACAAAAATAACTAACATTTACCGAATACGCACGACTTATCTCAGTTAAGCCTCATCACCACTGCACTTCCCCAAGTTTTATGGATGACGAGGAGGAAAGAGGTGAAATTACCCAGCCAAGGTCACAGAGCTAGTAGGCTAGCAGAGCTGCACTCTCTGGAGCCACGATCTTAACCTGTTCTACTCAGAGTAGGGGCAACACTTCAGCCCCGGTCCCACGCTGGCACCTCAGGCCATGCCCTCCCCCCTAACTCCCCTCAAAAGAGGAGTTTTTGTCTGATTGGCCAAAGCCCATGACCTTCACTGGGCCACATTTTACCAATGGGCAGGCTTTCTTTACTTAAAGGCACGAGCCATCTTCTTCCTCTCTACTCTCTGGGTCCCATGCACTGGATTAGAACATGAACTTGGGTTCCTTAAGGCCCTGACTACCTCTGTCTCTGTCACTGTCACTCTTTCTCTCAGAATATAGACCTGATCAACCAAGTCCCATGATTTCAAAAAGGGATGAGAGCAGGTAGAAAGGAGGTGGGGAAGGAGAAGAACCTTTGACAAGGGCTGTGGGTTGGGGCATCAGGGACCCGCACAACCATTAATATAATATTACTTTGAATCTCATCCCTTGAAAACTCTGGAGGGAGGGGAGATGATGGGTAGACCCAAGATCCGTACATCCCTCAGTCGGTAATATGACCCTAAAAGTAAGAGAATCACTCAGGTTTACAGTACCATACTGCCTCATCAACACTGGACACCTACTGCAACCAAGAGGTGCTTACCCATGCCACCAAATCATGCTACTCAGTGGCAAAGGGGACACTGTCCATATGCTCTCCCTTTTCCACCAACAGAAGGTAGACTGCAGACTGGGCATCGAGTAGGTGATAAAATAAATGGGTTTTTAAATTGCTTTTTAAATGTATTGTGTTTCGATGCCTTTAGGCAAGGCACAGTCTCCAATTCCCCCTAGTCCTCACTAGCCCCTACCATTTTCTACCCCAGCCAACTTCCCTCATTTGATTATTTACCTGGCCCCAAGGGCATCTGACTTTGTTACCCCCCCCCGCCCCACCCCACCCCCCAAGACCTGTAACAAACGGTAAGGAGGGGATTTAGCATCAGAAAAGCCAGTTCAAACCCAGGCCTTTCTTCTTAGGTACACAGATGCTGGGGATATCACCAGACCCCAGAGGCCTTGACTTCTGTCGTTCTGGAGAGCTACTGAGTGTGGAAGTGCTTTGTCAACCACAGAGCACCATGTCAATGCCAGTGATTATGATTATGATGCAGGAACCAAAGATTGGAGCTGGGCCACCTGCCCTCGGCTTTGCTGCCTCTTAAGGCTCAAGTTAAATTAATCCAGCAGAATTCAGGACACATGAGGCATAGGGAGGAAGGGCGGGAAATGTACTCACATTGATGTTACTAGGAAAAAATAATTAGCAAGCAGAAATCTGTGGTTAAGTTCTCTGGAAACAAACAAGGAGATGGGGTCAAATACTCAGCTCACATAATAGGTCTCCACCAGCCACAAAAGCACTCAGGAGGAACTGGGTGGGAGGCAATGTGCAAAGTGTCTGAGCACAAAAAGAACCACCCACCCCCTCCGGGAAGTCTAAAGAAGGAAAGAATTACTATATGGAAAATCATTGCTTTACAGAAGGGGGAGAAAAAGGCTCCAATTGCAAAATCAAGAGAGCCCTGATTAAGAGAAAATAAAGACTGTAGAGAAGATGGCTAAGAATAACCTCTCAACACCCAGAGGCCTGTGGGATCCAGATGGACACTGCTTCCAGCTGCATCCTCCTTCGCTGGCCCCAGCGCCTCATCAGACTCCTGCTGAGCAGATTCCATTTTCCATTGAAAAATTCTTAGCTTTCACCCTTCCTCCACTGTTAGCTCAGCCTCAGCCTGCAGGCCTTACCATTCCAGTGGCAGAGCTTGCTAAACGCCCTTCCTTCTAAAATCCTGCCAGGTGAGTGAGGAAATGCAGAGTGTATCTCAGAAAGCCAAGAGGAGGCTCCTGTTCTCTGTTCTCTGCCCAGCTTCCTCCAATCATTCATTCATTCATTCATTCAACAATAAATAACTACTGAGCATCTACCTTGTGCCAGGACCTGTTCTTAAGGGCTAGGAATAGGTACTTACAACTCATGGAACTTAAGTTCTGGTGGGAGAAATAATAAACAAGCAAAATATCACCATA